CATCCAAAAGGTCAGTGGAAACTGGTGCCATCGGCATCCTCCGGACCCACGGTTCCCGAAGCTGTTGACCTGACCCTCCGGACGAGGCCAATGGCTTGCTGGTGCTGCGCGGTGGAACGTGGCTCGCAGGAGCGTTGGGAGCGTGGCACGCCCGCTTTGGTTGCTATTGGTTTGGGATATGAACCTTCCATGCGTTTGCGGGGGGAGGTGTTGATTTAGAGCCATATGTTCAGAGTATGCTCATATTTTTCATGGTGAGGTTTTGTAACCAACTGGTTCTGTGGTTCTGCGCTCCCGGCAGGTCTTCCAGGAAGGAGGGAAGGAGCGGCTTTCGTGTACTTCCAACACCCACACCCACATGGTCCGCAGGAGTCCAGTGTACCAGGATGGTGGATTCCACATCTCCGGATGGATTTGGGCACCCATCCACCAGTTGCAGCAGGATGATTCCCTTTGATCCACAGATTGCCTTCTACTCTTGGCTGGTTGGTGCCGATTCCCCGATGCGTGTACGCTGACACCCGCGCACGTGCTGAGCCAAAACCCCGGACGCACACAGCTGGGTCTTCTCCGGATTCAGGGCGTAGACCCGTCTGACGGATTCGGTCTTCTCCGGATTCAGGGCGTAGACATGGTGAGTTTCTGCCTGAGAGGGGGCGTAGATCCCCTCAGATCTCCGCCCTGTTTTGGTCCCCCGGTCGGGTGTAGCGAGTCGTGGAGTCGTGCGGTCGTCGTGGAGTCGCACCGGGCACCACGCGCCGTTCGCGCCGGCACCGGTGTGGGGTCGGTGCAGTTCCGCGTTTCGGGAGGCTGAGCGCACTCCAGTTGCTCCGGCGGTCTCAAAGTCAGGCAAGATCAGTGTTTTTTTTCCTAAGTGCAGGTGCAGGAGAAGAAGGTGGGCTTGGCTCAGACGGGGGTTCCATGGTGTTTACTTTGGATTACATCAGGGGATGATTCTGGGTGCATTGGGATCATTGGGATGCACTACTGAGCCAGGACACCCGAGCTTTCTGGGATGTCAATAATGGTGGCTACCGAAATGGGCCTCCAACACCACCCCAGTTGGGGGCACGGGACACACCACTCCAATCAGGGCATTTAGGTGGAGTTCATTAGCGTTCTTTTTTTCTTTCTATAGAGTTCTGTTGTAGCCAGGGGAATTGAGTCAAGAAAGAGGACGAAAACGAAACAGCTGTGGACCTACTTGTGAACTGATTTGGGCAAGCAAGCCAAAGTTTTCTATAGACATTTTCAGCACATGAAAAGATGTCAAACCACCCCAATGTAGGCATATATGGCATACATGGAGTGTCTGGGAAAGATGAGTATCTGAGTACCGTCTTCCACAAAAGAGTCAAAGGGCGCATGTACAGGACCCTCTCGAAGGAGGGCAAGACCCACTTTGGTCCAAGTGAACGACTTGCAAATGCCTCAAACGCCCTGAAAACACATCTCGCGAAAGAGTTGTCCCAAATACCAACAGTTGCATCCTCCCAGTAGAGGATGTCTTCATCTTTCCAAATTTAGTCGACTTACCTGTCTGAAAGTTGAACTTCTTCACCAACTTTTCGTCCACCCCTTCCCCTGAAGTCTTCGTTCATCTTTCCAAACGCATTATGGACCTCGCAGTGCCGGTGCCGCAATTTGGTCCACTCTCCTGATCCAGTACCGAACAGAATGACCGGCCGCGAACCGCACCGCCAGTTTGTTGGCCTACATCTCTTTTTGTCACGAATCAGACCACCTTTTTGTGCGATTCCTGGTGGAATTTTGCCTACATCTTCCAACTCTGCAAAACTTCTTGGAATTTATTAAATAAGATACGGATTCCAGAGAATACCACCTGCCGGAAGTCTTAATATTAAACCAACCAAAAGGCAGAGGAGTCTTGTATAAGGTGGAAGATCCCGGTATGGCCACCCGGAGCCCGGTGGACTCCTGGTAGGTCGCGCCGACTTGGTAGGCCGGTAGGTCGTGGGAAAACCAGGGCCCCAGTTGAAAGACCCACAGCCATATGAGAGAGTATAAAACCTCCCCAGCCATATGAGTGGTATAGGGAAAGGTAGAGTTTTTTTATTTTTTTAAACACAACCTCATATGCCACTTGAGATTCTAAGTCTTAGCTCTAAACTTGCTGGACAACCCATCGGTGCCAGTGATGCTGGTCAGTCGAACATCCCCCCTGACCGTCAGAGGCGGCATGTGATGGGTAGGCCGGTTGCGCCATGTGAGAGCCGGCCTCCAAAAGCAAACATCTCCCAGCATCCTCACTTCCAGGTCACCAATGGTTCGACCTGTTAAGGACCCAAGAAGCCTCATGTCTTCGTTCGCAGACCTGGCAGGGAGGATGCTGTTCATTTGGAGAGGAAGCGGACATGTCGACCCCGCGCACACACGTGGATCGATCGCAGAGCGACACCCTGATCGCGCTTTCGCCCACGGCGGTTGACACGCTGCGGAGGCCGTTCCAAGGAGCAGGTCGACTCAGCCCTGGAGCCGAGTGAGGGGAGTGGGGGGGGTACGTGCGAAGGTGCGACGGACATATCTATCTGTTTTGTATATATATGATGACATGTCTTTCTTTCTACAGATCAGTTGGATCTGATGAGATAGTGAAGTTGGTCATATCGAGAACACCACTCAAAGGAGGTCAAAGACATTCAAAAACCAGGTTTTACATGGTTTTACTGGGTCAGACTGGACTTGTAGGGTTTGGGAACCTGGAGCCCCAGAATGGGAGGAGGAAACCTCCCTGGTCTAGTTGGTTTCGTCTCCGCTGATTCTTGAAGGGTGGCATCGGGACGGTCTAGTTGAAGGCTTCAGAGTTTTCGGTGTAAAGTCTTCAGAGTCTTGCGGTTTAGTTGAAGTCTTCAGAGTTAGGCTTCCTGGCCCACCATTGATTTAATGGTCTTTACACCGAGCCACCATGGTTTTACTAAGGATTTGACACGACGAAAACAGCTCGTTCCCCTTTTTAAAATAGCCTTGGAAGGCTAGGAAGTGGATTTGGACAGTGCGTGTGTGATCAACTGGTCAACTGGGGTAGTCCTATCAGCATGACTCGGTTTTCGATGCGGAGCGAGTATGAACAAGCCAGACCCCTCCATACCGAAGTAAGAAGACAAATCTGCTGCAGCCGAAGAGGCTTTTCTCTGTTGAACGGTTTGTTGAACTGTTTAGTTGTGGCCCTGAGCTCTGAATTTAGCCTTTGCTCCGGTTGAAAAGCTCCCAAATCCCTTTACACCATTAGGACACAGAAAGCCCCAGAAATGGTGTTGATCATTCTTGATGGCCCTAGCCAGATGAAAATACCTGCACCCGACTTCAAGTACCTTAGAAAATGGGATATGACCTGACCTGAACAAAAAACAGATACTACGGTCATTTTCCGAGGTACTAATGGGTCAACTCCGGACACCTGGGAGTGTTTGTTGAGATGTGATCGAATCAGGCTCTTCCTTGCCATGCTGAAATGCGATTCTTCACCCACATCTCCACAAGTGCTTGGCTCACAAATCCATTGCCGTCGCTGTGGAGTCGGTGGTACAGCTGTGGAATTGGTGGTTATACCGCTTCAAAGCAGCTTGGCGACGACGCAGCCATTCCAGCTCGTGCTTGTAGCTTTTTCCCGCAGACCACCGATGGAATGTGCAAGTGACAGTACTCGTCAGTGCAGCGGTCGATGTTCATATCTTCTCCCAACACAAATGTCCAGCACTAAGCCTATCCAGTCACCGTGATAAGTATATTGCATGTATTGTGGGTATGGTTTTCCTCACTCAAAAGTTCCCTTAACCTTTAATTACTTTGTGTGGATCGAACGGAAACGGCGAGGCAGTATACCGATGCTCCGTCCAACACCCACACCCGTCCACCTCCGGCTTCGCCGTCGGTGTTCGACCGCACCCTACCCGAAGGGGTCCCGGTGACTGACAGCTTGATCCGAACCCATCGGACCGGTGCGAACATCCCGCTGGCCATCAGCGAACCGTCCGGACCCCCCGGGCGGGGTGCCGGACCCTGGCGCAGCGACCGCAGTGCCGCCGTTGGTGCGGGCGCTCGGGGGTGAGGGGCGAGGGGGTGGTGGACCCGGGGGCTTGATGGCTTGAACACTCCAGTCCAGAGTGTTTGGATGGTTTGGGGGTTCGGTTCTTTTTCGGCCGTCTTTCGCAGGTCCCCCTGTAAGTCTGGATGACCACTATATAGACGTGGGTACCTTAAGCTATGGCCCTACTCATGAACGGCCTGTTTGAAGGGGTACCTTAAGCTATGGCCCTCCTGTTTGAAGGGGTCATCCCATCCAGCCGTGGATGGGCCCTGCAACTCGCTCTTGGACTCGGCGAGCACGAGGACGGTGACGGTCTGTTTCGGCGTCGTTTGCGCCAGGTGAAGCACCTGCATCTCAGTCTGCGGTTTGGATGGAACAACCAGGTTTCAATGGTCTGAATCCCAACGAACCAGTGTTTCACTAAGGATTTTAGACTACAAAACCAGGTTCAGTAAACCATTTGGTTTACTTCTTTCAATGGCCTTTGAAGGCTAGGGTATAGCTTTAAGGTGCTACAGTCCTGCTGGCTGGCTGCTGGTAGAAACTGTGTGTTCCAAACCAGTGGAACTTCCCCGAGCAGTAGGAGTGCAGAACCTTCGACACTTCGTCCGCTGGTGCGGTCTTTCAATAGTCCCCATGGCGGGTTCAGGCGCCCGCGGGTTCAGGGCGAAGCAACGTGAAACAAGAAATGGGAGAATCATGGGGGAGGTTGGGCGCAGAACCCCTTTGCGCCAAAAAGTGTTGAAGGACTCCGAGAATCTCGGACCAAAAACCTTTGCAGCCTTTGCTCAAGAATTGAATCGGAAAGGAGCTGGGCTGGGTGTAAGAAGAATTGGACTCCAACCTAGGAATTGTCATATGATCTCCTTTTTCCACCAAAACGCCGAGTACGTGTTTTGACGAAAACTCAACGCAAAACGTCCGCGAAAACGGTCGGCGCCAGGTTCGGGCCATGGTGGTGCTGGCCTTGGGCGAGGACACGGCGCCGAGTCGAGGCGAGGAGGTTGGTTTAAGCCAGGTGGGAGCACGCCACACGTGTGGGGGTTCTGAGTAGAGATTTGAAAAACAGTGGATTTGTTCAGAGTTCAATGGCTTACAATGTGGTTTACCAAAAGGATTGTAGTTTCAGAGATTTTGCCCAAAAACAGTGGATTTGTTCATCTTCATGCTGAAATGTGTCACAGATTCTTAGAGGTTCATGAACTCGGAATCGTACCCATAATTATAGTAATGATCAATAATGTGAATCCCTCTTCCAGGTCATCATGTGATTCTTTGTGTTTTTTAAAGTATTTCCGAATACTTGGCTTGTACGGGAAATCCGACTCAGAAAATCCAGGTCATCCACTGGGCCCGGCAGCGTGGGATATATATATATATATACCTAGAACCCAGACATGACCTTTGTTCTGATAGGAAAAGACCATATTTTGGCTCCAAAACAGGGGTGAATCAGGTTCTATAGGTATAGGATATGTGTTTAAAGTAGCGACAGGCAATGACCGCCCTGGTTGCTAGGGGACATGTTCGCCGACCGAAAGAACTGGCGAACACAGCCGTTCTGGACACTGAACTGGCGAACCCCACTGCCCAGGTGGACTGTCTTGACAGCGTCCCCGGTAGACCGGTTTGGTGGTTTGATGGTCCAAGAGGCGGTGGTTTCGTTTCGTTCGTTTTCCGACGCCCAAGTTCGTGACCAAGAGAGGTTTTTTGACCAGAACCTTCGGACCCTGGGTGTAGTGGTACATACTGGGGGCGAGCCCGTGGATGGGCGGTGAAGACCTGTCTTGTCCGGGAACTCGACCGTCGAAGAAGGGCGTCCAGGAGGACATCGGCTTGGTTTGAACGGGTTCAGCACGGGTTCGAAAGCACCATCAACGGTCTGGCCTTCGTTTAGGACCTGGTTTTAGTAAACTCCTTCGTATAGCAATGGAGATGTTGCTTTGCTATGAACCGCGATTGAATCACCACAGCAAAACGAGCAATGGCCAAAATCACTCACAACATCACTGAACGAGTCGCACTTTTAAGAACCTGGAGTCGACCCCCGGAACTCGTACCGCCCAGGGTCGAGGTCCGTTTTCGACGAGGCGCGAGGACGGCGCGAGGACGGAGCGAGGACGCGCCGACGCGCGAGGACCACCAGCAGTCCGGTTTGAAAGGCCATTCAGTTGGAAAAAGCCATGTTAGTTGATTAAGAAGAATGGACGGCTTTTTATGATAAACACATAGTTTGCATCATTTCAAGCAATCGGATCGGTCTTACAGTCCTTACAGTAGCCCTGGTCTAAAGTTTTAAAGCCCACCCAAACCTTGGTCTAAAAGGGTCCCACCAGTGGTCCCACCACATCATAACGGTATCATGCGGACGAGTGATTCATAATCCGCCTCATCTGGAGATGCTTCAAAAGGTGTCTGGGTGGGGTGGGTTGTTCATCAACAGTCAGGCCCTGTTTTATGAGAAGCCCCCCCAAAATGGTATATAAACACATATATCAATGCAAACATCTGATTAAGGTCTATGAAGCCCTGCTGTGACATCTATACATGCTCTGGACGCCGGAGACACTCAGTCTTGCAGCTTGCAAGACTGAAAAGGATCGCTTTCACAGCATGAGTGGCTCTTGCAAAAGTTGAAAAAGGATACCATGAAGTCTCAAAGCCTTCAGCGAAAACGGATCACTCCGGGTGGCGGGATGGCGTGCCATGTGCGCCCTCTTGGCTTCTTCACACACCACCCACGTCAATTAGATCAAGATCACCTGCCGCTAGCTTTCACAAAGGTTACAGAAAAGGAAAGGCAATCAGGGAAACATTTGGTCACTTGAGATGTGTTCTTTTGGGAAGGGAATGCGGCTGCTGGAGCCTTCAATGTCTAGTGGTGGTAGGCTTCACCTTGCGTCCAAGCGGACGTTTGAGATATATAGTTGGAAAAGGGAAAAGGCTTCAACATGTGCAAACAAAATCGTGCTTCAACATGGGCTTCCCATAAAACAGGGCAGGGGCTTTTTGGCATGGAATACTGAAAGATTGGCAATCTCCAAAGTCGGGTTGTTGGCGGCCTCATAGACGAAATGCAATGGTGTGAGATTTGAGTAGTGGGTCGATCGAAATGTTGAGCCTTTTTTATACATCATTTTTCATGATACTGTTTCATCTCATAATGCAGATCTCTCTCCACAATAGAAACAAATGATAACAACTGACGCTATTCATGAGTTGTCTTGTGTACAGTGCCAAACTGTTTTGGACAGTAATTTTTTTTTCATTATGACGCACTCTCTTTTCATAACAAAAAAGGTTCCAATAGAAGTCATGGTGTTTATCCTTAACAAGGCGCTGTCCATATCACAAGGGACGGTCGGAGGCCTTCAAGGCACACTGATCAACCCCAGACACGACCTGTCTGGGACCGGTATGGGACTGCCGAGAAACGGCCAGGGGTGGTTGAAAAGGGGTCAATGTATGTAAATATGCCAGTCCCATGGAGTGTCTGGGAATTATATCACCTCTCTCTGTCTCCACCAGAACTTACAAGAACTCTCCAGATCAGTTTGTCCAGGCAATCCATCGAGATGCCCCCATCGCGAAGGCCGAGGAAGCATGGAGTGGGGAGGCTGGGACGTGAAAGGCAATGAATTTGGTGATCACGGGGATTTCATGGTTGAATTGCGGATTCATGGAGTAGAGGTTCCTAGTTCCTATGCTACTTAATTATTTATTACAATCATGCATTTAATACTAATAGATAGTGCCAAAAATGACGCCTGGACCGTTTCGAGAGGGTCCCAGCCAAGCAAATGGACGGTCTCTCTCTCTCTCTATACATTTATAACATATCTCCACAGGATCTTTCTTTGGTTCTATGAGTCTATGAGTGAGGGTCCTCCTGAACACATCGAATTTCGGAACATGGGACATGGCCCGGACAAAAACAGGTACTGTATACTACTTGTTCTCCCTTGTCCGAGGTATGAGGGAGGTCGACTCGAGGTCGGCTCGAGGTAAGACACCTCTGTGGTGGAGGGGTGAATTGATCTACAGGTGTCGACAGTCTATGTCGCGTCCGTGCAGAGGAATGTGGTGTGTGTTGAGCGTCCTCAACGGTGCAACATGTCCTCCCGTTCGCCTGAAAAAGACGAAGAGTTCGGCTTCGGCTGGTTTCGTAGCCCAAATCCTCAGTAAAGCCATGGTCTGTGGGACGCGAAATCGGACCTCTTTTTGGGAAGCAGTGCAGCTGTTTGGGGGCTTCCAGCCAGGTGATCCTGACAGGAAGGTGCTGATAGGCAGCCCCTTAGTTCAACATCCAGACAGCTCGCGCTACGGTTGACCGTAGTTCACAAGAGTACATTCTGCACTCACCCCTCAAGTGAGATGCATTAATCCGCAGGGGGCCTAAAACTTGGGGTGGAAGGGGTCAACAAACACCGATTTGGAGGTCAAACAAGTCATATACTCATTGTTCCCTGTTTTTCCCGCCGCCTTCTCCGCTTTTCACGGCGTCCGCCGCGCCAGCGGCACCCGCAGGAACCGGCCGTCTCCGCGGTGACCACGGCGCCGGTTCCGCAGGTTCCGCCCCTCGGCGAGACCCTGAGCGAGCCTGAGTGATGCGACCCGGTTTAGACACCCAAAACATCCTCCCTGCCAGGTCTCCTTTATAGGGTTCTTGAGCCCCCAACAGGTCGGTCGAACCATTGGTGACCCGGCAGGTGAGGATCCTCGACCTTTGTTCGGTACTAGGACTCACGTGGAGGCACAGGGCAGTTTGGCTCGTCCCATGAAAAGTGAGTGGATGTGTCCAGGGGGGCACGACTATCCTCCAACTTCGGCACTCCATCCCGAAACCCTCCTGGTATGTCTGGTCAAGTTTTTCTAAACATGTATTATTTTGATTCTTTGGTTCTTTGTTGCACCCCAAAAGTACCAGTTCGGAGGCCAGGGTGCACTCCCTCCATGCTTCCCGTTCGCTCTCCTGTCACGTCGGACGAGCCAACCACCCTGGCCTCGGAAAGAACTCCCTGGTCAATTTGGTCCAATGTCCGATCAAAGCAGGGGTCCTGGGATCGGTCGACAGCGCCGCTGAAATTCGACTTCTACTCTGCTCGACGCCGTTCGATCCGACGGTCGGAGGTGGAAACACAGGGCGCCCTGAGATCCGGGTTCACCTTTCGGACGAACACCGGGGAGTCATTCGTGCGCCGCTGAAGTTCCTGAAGTTCGGTCGAAAAATAGGTGCTGGAGAAATGGCTGGAGACCATCTCCCTGACGTCCGGAACTTCAAATGTTTGTGCACCGGATGATTTTCAGGTTGCCTGCTGTAGATGAAGACATGTTCACAGACTGGGAGGAAAGAAACCATGAAAAACACATACACCCCTTCAGGGTCCCTGGTACCTGTCACCAGCTATTCTTTCTGGTCCCCACAGATGCTCGCTCCCAATACTGTTCTCCGAACACCGGTCTGGGCGGTTTGGAGCCCCAGTCGTGGCAGGTGGGGGGTTCGCGTGGATGGCCTCTTTGGTTGAACATCAGAGACCCTAGGGCTCCAACCACCTCCTGAGAAGGTGGTTGAGGTAAGTTTGGGGGGTCTAACCACCTTCTGAGGATATAGTTGGAGCCCTAGGGAGAGATCCATACCCCCAGTCGTGCACAAGCAATAGGTACAAGGCACCGGCCCCTCGATTTCTTCTCCAAAGGGGCATCACTGGACCTGGTCCATCGGGTGTGGCACCGCAGGTCATTATTGATCCGTCCAAGCCACCAACCCACCGCCCAGGATGGAGGTGAAGCCTGTGAAGCCGGAGGTGAAGCCGGAGGTGAAGCCGGAGGTGAAGCCGGAGGTGAAGCCGGTGAAGAAGGCGGCCCCCGGAGAGAGAGAGAGAGAGAGAGAGAGAATTTTCCTCCAATGTTTTTCATTTGTTTTCCAATGTTTTCAATCGGTCGGGCACGCATTTGCATGCGGCATTTGAAAAGGCTCCCCGGCCTTAACAGAAGTTGTTTCGTTGAACAGATGCGAATGAAACAAGTTTGACGAATAATGCGGACCAGGAAGGACTCAAACTTCCAAACTCTCGTGCTGACTTCGCCAGAATGGCAAAGAGAGACGACACCTCCTCCAGTGGGCCGCTGGTCCTCTTACTTGCACACGTCTTCATCCAAGGAAGACGTGGAAAACACCAGCGAAACTGCAGAGTCAACCGTTCATCCAGCCCCAGGCTTCCGACCACTATTCTCTAATGGTCTTGGACTTCCAGGGCCAGGGTGCAGGTGGCCCTGAGGCGACCTGTGGTGAAAATTCTAACCCATGGCATGCCACGGATCAGCGCCTGATGGCCAGAGGCTCTAGGATCGAGGGTGATAACACAAGCGGTGTTCGATTTTTGCACCTTCGACCATAAAGCTGACCCAGCAAGACAGGTTGAACAGCCCATCCACTATCGCCCATCATGTACCACAGAGCAGGGTCCGAACGTTCTGGTCTCTCAACCTCTCTTCAGCCTATTATACAAATGTTTTTTTTGATTTCCATGATGCACGGACTCCAGGGTGACTCGAATTCACAGCAAAAGGACCGTTCGCCGGTCCGTTGAAAAACTGCACCATCTTCACCATCTATGGATCAATATGGCCGGTACTGTCAAGGGGATTCACCGAAAGCAATTCATCGATTCAATCTTTCTAAACACACACAGCACCAGGCATCACACATTTCTCCCACTTTTGCTCAGCTGATTCAGCTGATCGGTTTTCACCGGCGATGGGCTCGCTGTTGCCTCGTGTTTTCAGGCCAAGTCAAGACATGCCTCTTTGGGAGCGCGGCAGAGAAGTAGAGAGGCCTGGACTCTGGGAGCGCGGTCACCGGTTTGCAAAAGAAGGGTTGTAGTTGCAGCCCATAATCAGTAACAGTCGGTCAAGGATCATCACTCTTTTTGAGATCTTGGCCTACCGATCCCACTCCTTGGTTTTGCGGAGACTTTGGGCGAGGTGATTTTCCCCATGTTTTCCCAGCCCCTGGCATCAGGAAGATTTCCTTTATTCCTTCCAGAACAAGTCCAGGACTTGGGTAGCAATTGAGAATTCCCCATTGAAGAAGGTTGAGCACTGGGGAGGGCCTTCAATGTCCTTCAAGGGTAAAGGGCCGGGGGATGTCAAGCTGCTGGGGTGGCTCAGATGGCTCAGTTTTGAGCCACATCCACAGGTGTCTCAGAATCACTTTTATTCTTTTTTTCCACGAACATCACTTGGTTGAGCAGCTGCTCATTTGAGACAGACCCATGTTCATGATTACCTAGAACCTGTTTTTGACCCTTGAATGACCTCTTCCTCTCAAAGCAGGGCATGAGATGGGTTCTAGGCCCTAGGTCTCGCTTTTGCTGCCCAAGGCACCCTGCAACTCAGTTGGCAAGAACCGGTGACCTCTTCACCCACTCACCCCAAAACCCACCAACCGGGCACCCAGAACCACCCTCTTCAACCCACCGGTGACTCGACTCACTGGGCACTCGTTCGCTCCAGGAGAAACCTTCGACGCAGCTCCCGACGGTCTCCGCGGTCCCAGTCATGTGCCTTCGGCGGCAGTAACAAGGACGCTATGCTCGGTAGTAGGGTGGAGGCCATTCCTATTAGGTTCCTTTCGCTACGAACGGGGGCTCCTGGCCTTACGAACGGGGGCGAACGGGGCTGGCCTCGCTACGTAACAAGGCCGGCACCGGACGAGTGGACGTCGGAGGGTGCCGAGGCTCCCATCGACTTGAGGTACGGAGGATCCGAGCTACGAACGTCACGTCGACGTGCATCGCGCCTTCCGTCCCGTGCATCCTCTTCGAAGCGCACCTGGTGCGTTGGTACGTTCAACGCAGGAATTCATCGAGGGAAGGAGACCCCTCGTCTTCAACAGCTCTGTCGGCGTCCGGCAGTTGGGGAGGTCGATGCTCGATGGTCGAGGTCGTGGCTCGATCCCCAGCAACGCCCATTGACCCACTGCTCGTCGTGGCTGGCTCGTTCCCCTTTTGGTCGGAGGAAGGGGCCACTACATGGCCCTAGTTGCTCCTTTGCTTCGTGAGTGAATGATGTTCTCCACACTGAAACTGGACCACCACGCTTGGCGCCGTAAAACCTTCTCGAGAGGTTTTTGTCACCTGGGGTACCCAACTGGGATAGTCGAACTAGGGTTCTTCAACCTCTGTTGGAACAAACAAGGCCTATCTTTTTAGATCACTTCAAGCTCCTCCAGCCAGGTGTGCTGAACTTCCTGCTCCACTTCTTGCGAGCAGGTGGGGACGACGGGCAGCGGTTCCTCAACTGGTGCTTCTCTAGGCTTCCTTCCCCACCATTGACTTAAGGGTTTTTGCATGTTTTTTTACTTTACCGAAACAACCATTGTGGTGGATTGTGGTGGTAAGGATTTGACTACAACACCAGGTCCAGTGAACTCTTTTATGCAATGGTGGGCTTGAACTGGAGTTGAAATGTGAAAACATGTGAAAACCGACGTCCTAGCATCCGACGTGTTCGCCCGAAGCGACGCGGTGATGCGTTTTTTGGTCGTGCCACCGAAGCTTAGAGATGACGCGTGAGCCGACCCAGGAAAAGTGGATAACCTTATATATAAATAAAACACTTTTGGGAATTGGTTTCTTCAAACAAGAAAAGAAGAAACATTGGGAAACCAATGAACATCGATTATCCCTTGATTTTCCAGAAAAAAGCTGTGGCAGTCAACGTCATGAAGGTCCAAAGACAGCGTAGGAACAATCAGCTGACTTCAGGGCTACGGTGTCTGGAGCCGGGTCATTGCTGTCACCTTGCTCAGACAGGACAAGACCTGATAGTTTGGTATCGCACTTGGATCTCTCATTACAAGATAGCAACATGGATCCTTCATACAGGATACCGTATCTTGCAATTGAGAATTGAGACGGCGTTCAGCCCGTTCAGCTGCAGCCACTTGAGAATTTGCTGGGAAGAGTTGTATCACTTGTAAAATGTTCCTGCAGATTTCTCCTGCCAAAAAGTAATAAAACAAATGATCCCGGCAAGAGACCCAAAGGGTGCTAAGTAGAAGAAGAGAAAGGCAAATAAGCCAACTTCCACACTCTAGAGCACACATGAGAGAACACACACATATCATATGTGAGGAAACACATGAGAGCATATCTGAGATCACAGGATGCCAGCAGAGATATGAGAGAGCACACGCATATAAAGGCAACACACATGAGAGCACAGCTATTGCAGAGCGCGCGCACACGCACACACACACACACATGAGAGCACACATATGTGAGCACACGTGGAAGAGAACACGTGCGACAACACACACATGAACACACACACCCACACCACACTCGCACACGCACACGCATACGCATGAGTGCACACCGGTTTAGAGTCCACGTATGTGAGGAAACACGAAACCAGACATATGATGGCACAGGTATATGAATTGGAGAGCACAGACAGGAGAGCACACACACAGATGAATAATAGCACACATAAAAGAGAACGCAGGTTAGAACACACAATGTTGCCCGTCCCTGGCAAAGAAGTCAGTGAACCACCCGCCCTCCCACAAAAAGACTGCAGCGATCATTCTTTTGGGGTATAGGCTAGGTGTATACAATATATTGTCACATGTCTTATTCACCTGCTCATTTTTGGTGCTGTGTCCCTGTTGCCCATATGCCACTGCGGGACCTCCCAAGACGTCCCAAATAGGACTTTTAAACGCCACGCGAGATCTCAGCACATCATTGATCGGCACATCGAAGAACATGGGACATGGCCCGAAAAACACAACAGCTAGATGTACTCATTTCCCGAGGTACGACCTGAGACTCCAGGTAGATTAAGCTCACCCCCAGCAGCTGCAGCGTTTTGGAGGGAGCTGAGGGTTATCCCTGCCCTTCCCCCAACCAAGCAGGGAACCGTTCGGAGCGACCACGGGAGTTAAGGCTAAAACTATGCTCAGCTTACATAGCTTTACCCATGTTTGATGAAAGCGAAGTCCAAGACAAAAGATTTAGCATCACGCAAGTCAAGTGACATTCCTATTTTTTGCAAAACATTTTTATAAACTACTATGATAGTCGACTGGACTCCCAGGAAGGAGTGACGCCCCACGCCCGAAGGCCCAAGTTGGTCGGTCACGTGTCCGCCGATGGTCCCTTGGAACGAAACCGACGAGGCGACGAAGGATCTCGGCACGGCGTCGACGCTGCCAGTCTGGACTGCGAAACGGCCTGGGGTGGTGGACTGGGGGTGGGGCGGCAGGGCGGCGCCCACTGATGACATCTCTTGAGTTGCGACGGTTTGCTGCGTTGTTGCGGGCGATGGGTGCAGTCAGAGCCTTTCCACATGGTGCTTCGATTTCTCGCTTTGTGTCGCATGGTGTGTGTGACGTGAACGTTTTCCTGCCGGCCCGACCAGAGTCTCACCGGTTCTCGCATCGTTTTCGTGCGATTACTTGACAGGTGAGCAGGTGGACAGTTCGGTTATTAATTGGATACAGGGGAGTCTGTTCCACACTTTCTTTGGCCCAACTCTTGACTGTGCCACCCATCTTCCTTGGCACCGTGAGACGACGGAGCTTCGTTTGCCGCGATCGGCGTTCGGAACGACGGCCCACCGGAACTCCTCAAGCATTGCCAAGTGTCCACAAGCGCTGCCTGGCAGCCTTCGACAATGAAACACATGCTTGACCCGGTTTTGTCAGGTAAAATCCAAAAAACATGGCGGTTCGGACCAGGCTATTAAATCAAAGGGTGGTTGGAATCCTAGGGTTACGGTTTCTTGATTCTTGGGGGGGTCATCATTCTCCTGACCCCCATCCTTTTCGATTCGTTTTCCTTTGAGCGCCCACATCGAGGTGGAAAAGTGGTCCACAAGAGTCTCCTGGACATGGCGCAGGCGCTGTGGTGATGCACTCCAGCAGTCCGAAGGGCTCGCATGGTCGTGCACGTGAGGAAGACCACAAAAACATGGGTTCTGGCTGCAAATTGGATGCATGGCCACTTTAGTGGTTGGCGTTCATGTTATTGCTGTACTTTCCTGTTCAAAGGGTTGCTGTGAGCACATGCTTCTTCCAATTTGTTCAGCTCAACATTCGATCGAAATCCGATGGAGAGAGCCTAAGGCCATGGTGGCAACCGCCTTCGATGAAGCCATATATTGCTGGACTGGACGTTCACGCATGCAACTGATCTAAAGGGACCACCATTGATCGTGCTGCCTTAAGAAAGTGGACCAACTGAACACTTTTGCCGACCTCCCCGCTAATAGAAAAAGAAAAGACACAGAAAAGACACCTAACAGCAATGGTCTTTAACCCAATAGCGATGGCTTCCCCCCAATGCCTTAAGAAAGTGAACAGATTGAACACAACAAAAACATTTGCCTTTCGCCCACCTACCCTTTTGGTGAACAAGTGCTTGAAGACTTCCCATAAAAGCCCTAGAAAATCAAGAACTTCTGAAGGAACTTCCCGAAAAGCAAGTATAAACTATATTTTATATAATATAATATATATATTACTTAGACTTCTACATCAACCCTCGTTTTCACCTACCTTTTCAGGCCTATCGGCAGACTCTATGCAGGAGTCCTTGATTGTCTCATGGGGTCAAAGCCGCCGTGGCGTCGCAAGACCTATCAGACCGGCAACGAGGCGGCCGCTCTGCAGGTGCCGCGGAAGGACGGTTGCCGGAGCGATGTCGGCCCGGTGGGCGACGCACCTCCAGTCGTTTTGATGCTTTTGTGAACGAAGCACCAGCTGGTTTTCTTCGGTTTTAAAAGGGCTTGACACTAGAACAGCTTTGTTCCCAGTTTCCAAGAAGCGTCTTCTGGACTTCTTTCAGAGGACGCCACCCTGGTGTTGGGCGGTGGACCTCGTTCGTCCCGTTCGAAGCTGCCGTTCGTCCCACGTGGACGGCCATGCGCGACACCGTGGGCACGGCCAGCCGAACTGTTCCGGCCGGTGGAGGACTATGATGGGGAGAGCTCCCGGGTCTAAAGTACTGGTATACTGGTTGATTAATTATATATATATAGTTGAGTTAACGTTGATGTGGCTGTATCCAAATGGAAGTGTCATTTTGAAAATTTTTGGAGATTCCCGATCGCCCCAAACTGGGTCTTCTACGGGGCCTAAACTGTGTCCAATTGTACTGGAAGAGCTGGGAGGGTCGACAACTCTTTGAGCCGGAGCACCCGAATCAATGTGGACGCTTGATGAACAACCCCCCAAGCCTGAGAAGGTTCAATTCAAATAAACTTGTTTATGAATCAGAGAGTTGACCCGCATAAGGAGATCGATTTGGACAGCAGATGGTCAGATCGGAAAGAAGCGGGTCGAACCCCAGTCACGACCAGAAACAGTTCGTTCCAAGATGGTGCTGGCTTGAGATCCTTTACATAGGATTTCTGGTTGGGACTGGGCGGTTCCATCCACTTGTTCCTGGTTGGGACTGGGTTTCGCGTGAAAGTGGCAAACCTGACTGAGAGTGGTTTAGCAGAAGGCAGCTTTCAATATGGATCGCTCTGTTTTCAATTAGGGTTGGTGCCATCTGTGAAGCTACAGAGATTGATTCAATCAGATTGATTGTCAGAGATTCATTGGGGCACCTTCACCTTCGGTGGCTTGCCTGCGGCTTGCCGGCGGCAAGCCCCCCGTCCCGTAAGCTGGAAGCTTTTGGAAGCTTTTGTTCTAGTAGAGCTGCTTAGTTTACTTGATTCTTGGAAGGGCTCTTTTCTTGACATTTATGACCTGCTTTTAAGATTCAACTTCATCCTCAAACAGTCGACAGATCTGGGATGTGATCAATCGAGATCCGAGAGGATCACGACTACTTCCCTGTAGCTGTTCTTTCGACTGAAAACAAAAACCAGACACTCACCCGTATAAAAACCAGGTCACCCGTCGAAACTGGTGGCTCGTCGCATGGATTTGATGCGGTTTTACCATGGTTTTGACCAAGGAACCAGCCCACCAGGTGAACGAACCGAACGTTTTGTGTGAACTCTTGGAAGGGGACTTTGGCCTCTCAGGGCGGAGATGAGGGATGAAAGTTGATTCGGAACCCAGACATTCACAGATATGGTAACCTCTCTTCAGGGTGCCAGGCGGAACAAAACATCGCGAACATGGGGTTGGTGGTTGGTCTCAAGCTGTTGAAATCACACAACTCGCCTCAACAAATCACTCGCTGTCTCAAGCTGTCTGAAGCTAAGCTGTCTCAAACACTTCTCACACTGTCTCAAGCTGTTTGACATCTTCCGTACAAAAAAGGTTCACACAACATATTCTCGAAGTTGTGTCGGTCGTGGCGGTCCAACCGCATGGAGCATCGGTCGGCGGTCACGTGCGCATACCGGTGCCAGGCGTTGGGTCACTTGCTGCAAGATCCCAAAGGCACGGTGAAGCATCAATTCCAAGGAAAACACGGGTCGCAGAGGTTTTTTAAAAGGAAGAACAAAGAGAGAGAGAGAGAGAGTTTGCCGTTAGCAGCATGTTTAAATATCACACGTAAAACTTCCGGTGAAGTGAACTCAGAGATGTTTCAGAGTTGCTTTGTTGGGCAAACAGTTCAAACGAGAAGATCTGGCTCCCAACTTCCGCTGTGACAGACTAGGTACCACACGACAGAACGGGTTGAACCTCGCAGCGGTGAGGTGGACCCTGAACCGACGCCGTTTTTGGCGTGGAAAAGCCAGCGGCGTTCGCAGCTCAAAGATGCCCGGTGAGTCTTTTTCTCATCCAAGTCTTGGAATGCATGAGCAATGAACACGCACGGAAAAAACACATAAGGAACATGCCAACTAGGTCTTCGCTTTTCGGGGGATGTTTCTGATTTCAGACTCTCTTCGATGTTTACACATGCACATCATAGGCAATATAGGTGTATACCTGGACCCTCGAGTTCATACCTTAGAACATGGGACATGACATGACCCGAACAAAAAACAGGTACTTGCCAGGTTCTTCAGTTCGTGACCTTTTTGGAGTCCCTGTCTGTGACCATTTCCAGGCCTGTTCGTGACCTCAAACCAGGTACCCATTTTCTGAAGCACGACTCCAGGTAGATGGACTTGCAGGGGCCGTCTCGAGACTCTGAGCCCATGGCACGTGAGGATGGTCGAGCTGGCAGCATGAGCTCGGGGTATCCTGACCTCGACAAGGACCACAAGGACCACAAGGACTTGACCGCAGACTCAGAGGATGCAGAGATGAAAGAGATCTTTGACCCAAAGTGGAGAGAAGGACGAGAAGGAGGAGAAGGAGGAGAAGGAGAAGGAGGAGAAGGAGAAGGAGGAGAAGGAGGAGAAGGAGGAGGAGGAGAAGGAGGAGGAGGAGAAGGAGGAGGAGGAGGAGGAGAAGGAGAACAGCAGAGAGATAGCATTCCAAGTGTTTCAAGAGGCGAAGATCGTCTTTTTCCAGAACCCGATGAAGCAGCTCTTGGACAAGAGAGAAGACCATCCGGAACCGAGCCAGGACTCCCCGGCCCAGGACTCCCCGAACTCCCTCTGGAGACCTTGATGACCGACGTCCCCAGTCCCCCGCGCCACCCCGGACAGCCGGCTCGGGCCTCGTCCACGCCGCGTGGGAGGGGGCGAGGTGCCTCGCCGTCGCCCAAGGGTCCCATCTGTGAGGCCTGTGTGGCCGTGGTGGGTTTGCCCAAGGATGCCACGCTGCGTGAGGTGCAGATCCTCTTCAGTGGCTGTCCGGGCCTCGGAGCGGTCGTCATGGAGGAGGCGGAGGGCCAGACCTTCGCCGTGTGTCAGTTCGCTGGGCCGGAGGAAGCGTTGCAAGCGGCCAAGAGCCGCAAGAACACCCGCTGGGGGCTCCAGGGTCCAGCGGTGACGCTGGAGGTGCGGCGATTGGAACACCTCGAGGAGCTCTTGCAGATGCGCGGCGTGCTCCCCAAGCTCGCAGCCTGCTCCCGGCCCAAGTCGGTGGAACGTGCCCACGCGAACGAGGCGAACGAAGGCTGCCTACCGCGCCGCGGTTGGAAGGACCGTGCGAAGGACAGCGGTCCAGTTTGTTCAATTGAGATGCATCTGGCGAAAGCTCGTGTGGAAGAGGCATTGAAGAAGAACAAGCTTGCAGAGTCTTGGTCTTAGTGGTTCTGGACATTTCTGTGGGAACTGCCTCAAATCTGGGGAATCTGTAGCATTCTATATACTAGCACCCGCATAGAATCATCGTGCCATGAACCTCCTGTGTGCCTTCCAACAGCTTTGTTCGACTTTTCTTCTAACAGGCGTGGACCTGTAGTACGGTGGATGGCAGGAATAGCCTGGACCTTCGATTCTGCCCAAACGGGTACAGTGGTTTCAGAGTAGACAATCCCCAAGTTTGGTGGTTTATATGGACCCCCATCTCAAAAAGCATCTTGGGGTTTGTGCCATCTACTCTGAAACCACTGTTTTTAAACAACTCTGCGAATTCCAGGCGAAGTCTATGCCCTATAGAACTCCAAAGACGATGTTTGCCACCACCAAAATGCATGTTTTCGGTCATCCAAAGACAATTTTTAAAAATCGGTTGGACTTCGTGGGTATGGCGAATCTGAATGTTCGGGTTCTTTGAAGTGAACCTTGGACACTTTTGGTCACTCGACCCCCCAAAGAAATTGAAGCCCAGCTGGTTGATGTTCATTTAGGCATTTGAGTAGTCCCGAAACATGCTATACAGGAATCACAATGTGTATCTTCTCGATTTTTCTAGATCGAACTTCTGAATCCTTCGGCCGCGACTCGCTCCAGCTCGCCCTGTTTGCCGCTCCTTTCGTCCAAGCTCCCCAGTGGCGCGCCTTGCTCCGAGGAACTGGAGACCGCGCTCCTCGAGGCCGAGCGCGCCGGCGTGGCCGCCGCCGAGCTCGCCGAGGCCCAGCGGCGCTGCCGGACGCAGCAGCACCGCTTGGCCGTGCGCGCGGCGACCTTCGCGCAGCAGCGGGCGCGGAATCGCCTGGCGGACGCGTGGCAGTGAAGCGAAGGGGAAGTTTCTTTTTTGGGTGTCCAATATACAACTTACCCAGCCCATTGCTAGACTGGACCTCCAGACAGGACACCCAGACGGAAGGATCCTGGTTTATTCTATTGTTTTTTTTTGGGTCTTTTGCGTTGACGCGAGTGCTGCTTGAGCCCGTTGTTTTTCCCACTGCTTTGTGGCGGGTGAGGATGGGGCTTTGGGGGGTTCTTCGCCCCGAAGATCGATTCCCCGAAGCAAGCGACCCAGACACGACCTGTTCACGACCTGTTTGGGACTGCCAGAACTGCCACCCCAGAAAGACCACCCAAAACCACCACCCCACCGGCCGGACTGGCAGTCCGACAGGTCGTGTCTGGGTAGAGACCACGTGGTACGTGGACCTGTTGGAGACTGCAGGTGGTTAATATTAATATATTTGCTATTGGCATTTAAATTAAAGTAAAAGCAAAGGTAATAAAATGCCAATAGCTGTAAAGAATATAATCTATTTTACAGGAATGCCAAGGATTAAAAGACAAAAAGCATTATATTAAATCCTTGGCATTAAAGAAGATAATAAATAAGAAACAATAACCGCCATTTTATATAATACAGAGATTTCTAATAATTATAAAATGGCGGGAAGGATTACATCATTTTAATTCTATTATTGCAATCGCATTTTAAGATTATAAAGATAATAAACACCCCCCAGGACCCGTGGTGGTTGAAGGGCCCCCCTCACTGCTCAAGGGGTTAATTTCAAGAGACACCCCCAAGGGATGATGGTCGTGGGTTTTTGGGTGGATGCTGAACAGCCGGGGTGGTCTGAATTGGGTTTCTGGGTTCGGAAGCACATGCCAGGATGCCTGGGAGGGTCTGGACCAGAACCTGGAGTCCAGTAAGCGCCTTGCGCTGCTGGATCAAGCGCTCCGGGACGGCGACGAAGCGGCGAAGCTCTGTGGCAAAGCAGCTCAGAAGATGGAGGAAGCCTTGGTTTTCCTTAGAGTTGAGATCGCCCTCAGTAGGTAGAGCCTGAAGGCCTACAGAGCTACAGAGCCTACCTAGGTTAGGCAATCTCAACCTTGTAGTCGTTTTTTTGATTTTTCCACTATACCAGGATCAGCATCCTCCATGCAAGATTCGGTGAGACTTTGGACCCAACCAGGTAACGGAGGTTTCTGGGGCAACACCTGCAACGGAGGGTCCAGGTACCCTCACTGCCAGGTCAGAACTGAGGCTTTTCTTCGACCCTTCTCGGCCCTGCGTCAGTGAACGCACCAATCGGACCTAGGTGAGTCTGGTACCTGGTAGGTGATTGAAAAGGGGAATCATATTTAGACATCTTCTTTCCTATTAGTGGTGATTCTCCCTAGCATGGGTGAAGATCGATTACATGATACATGTGATTGTTCTTTGTCCCGGTTCCTATGTATTTCTTGAACTTCCGCAGGGCCGCTCACTCGTCCTGCCTCCAGGAAGCTCGTCTCCGGGAAGCGGTCCAGGTTCTCGGCCAGAAGTGGATCCGGTCCGTCCAGCAGAGCCTCCAGCTGGCGATGCGATCCGGTCGGGTCACCGAGTTGCGCGTGGCCTTGGCCGAAGGAGAGGCCATCCTAAACCGCCTGGGGAGTTTAGAAGCCAAGAAGGAAGAGGAGAACACGGAAGAGGTGGCCACGTCCGACCCCGGGAACCTCGAAGCGTTCAAGGCTTTGCTGGAGGAGGGTCGCCGTGCACTCTTGGGTGAAGAACGTCGAGGAGTTGCAGAGCAGAGACTCTCCGAGGCTTTGCAGCGGAGCGACCCCCGGGTCCGAGGAAAGAAGCTGTCGGAGCTACTGCACGAGTTCAGGGATTCTGTGAGTAGCAGCCTGGTTGCTCAGGCAGAGGCACGCTTGAAAGAGTTGGACGCCCAAGCGACGGCGAGGTGGTGGATGTTCACAGCGTCGTTACGGGCTCCTTGGTTTTGCATGTTCCCGGTCGGGTTTTCATGTTTTTTTCTTTTAAAGCCCGGAAGGTAGGCCGCTACTAGAGGGAGCTAGCTAGTATTAGCTAGTATACCTACAAGTAAGTAAGCTACTAACTACTGGACGCAGGATAGCTCACGCTTCTTCAAGGAAGCTTCCTTGAAGAAGCTAAGCGCTCGCACTGATGATATTTGGTTCCTAGAGGCCTTTGGGGAAACCTAAGGTCTATTTTTACTAGTAGCTTCCTGTTCCTGGTAGTAGGGCCAGGAGCTACTAGTAGCGTCCTTGCTACTAGTAGTGTTGCCCTTGTTACTAGTAGCTTCTGGTTCCTTAAGGCTCAAGATGGCACGTTGGCTTCATGCTCGTCCGGAGCCTCCGACGTGAAGTTCGCCATCAAAGCTGCGAAGGAAGTGGGCTTGACCAAAGCACAGCTGCAAGCGGCCTTGGGGGCATACGAGAAGTTGGAGAAGCTTCAAGCGATCTTCCTGGTACTCTCGGATGCCCTCAAAGACACCGATGCTAAGCAGGTCAAAGAGGTCTTACACAGAGTCACCTCCACAGGCATCTCGGAACGCGAGAGCCCTTTGATCGCCGTCTACTTAAGGAGGCTCCGTGTGCATTTAGGCTGCTTGGAAAGCTCATGAGAAGGCTCCAAAATGGAGACTTCAGCTATCTTCAGCAGCCAAAAGGAGCGTGGCCCCATCTGGGCCCAGATGCTGCTTGAGGACTTGGAACTCAGGTTGTTGGAGTGACTGGATGAAACCCCTCTCAGGCTATGAAGCAGGTGTCCCATTTCTTCGTAGTTTTTGGTGTCAATTCAATACCAGCACCCGTTCGGCCTTCCAGGGGCCGTTCGGCCTTCCAAGGGCCGTTCGGCCTTCCAAGGGCCGTTCGGCCTTCCAGGGACTCCCCCGGTCTGAAGCTCCTTTGGAGTCCACCCTCCGACCGAGCGGACCGAGCGCTGGAGGGACGTCGTCGAAACGAAGGACCAAGAGAGGGGTGAAAACGAGACCGGAACTGGGACAGGACCCAAGACATGTGGTACATACCATATTACTACCTGGATCTTCCCAGTGATATAGTGACATCCAATTTGGGGTGTCTATGTTCATTCGCCTCAAGGGACCTCGTCGGACCTTGGAGACGGACCCTCCCTCCGTGGTCCGGAGGTTTGGAGGCCGTTTCCTCCTTGCCTTTGGATGAGAAGAGCATGCTTTACTTGCAACAAGCCCTGGGTGCGGGATCCGAGAGTGGGGAGGTTGAGTGGGTGCGTCAAATCAGAACATATACGTCTTAGCTGCATGTGGTGGGTGCCAACGACCGATTTGGCTTGGAACACCTCGATCTTCACGGGTGTTTGTTCATCCATGAATCATGTATCAATCTAAATACTATATGTTTCGCACCGCCCCACATCCGACCAATTCATACCCACATTAAAAATCGGCTCCTGGCCCACATCCTCAGAAGGTGGTTAGGTTTGGCACCCACCCCAAACCCACGTTCTGGAGATGTGGGCCAGGAGCCCTAGGGTTGATAGCCCGAATCCCCAACAACTTATTGTTTGACCAAGGATTTGGCCACTACAGGTCACCAGGACAAGCAGTTTTTGAATGGTCTTTCCCGGAAGGTGAAGGGGATAGGGAGACACATGGAGACACCCTGGCCCCAGCGAAGTCCCGCAAAGCCTATAGGGATTTGATCCCAGGACTCCAAAGCATGTGGGTCCGATCCCTTCAGTTCTGGTGCAGTTTGGGCAGACTGGTTCTCATTTTGGATGCCTTCAGACTGAATGCGTGGATGTTGTGAAGTTCCAAAGGATCTGCTGTGGCTGTGGATCACCAGAAAAACCATTGGAATTCTCTAACTCGCGACCTGGTGGAACCAGGGCGACCTGAGTGACCGATCCCCTTCCCGGAGCCGTGACCTGCGCGAGGTGTGCTGAAAACCGAGCCCAACCTTGAGCCACTTGGCACGTGCGCGGCCGCGCGGCCGGGCGCCCGGGTGGCCGAAGCGCATCAGGCGGCGAGAAGGCCCGAACCGGGCTCCTGGCCCACCAAGTTTTGAAGCGGTTGACGGGTCACTAAGCTACCAACACCCTTTGACTGTAGCGCGAGCCGGACCGGCTTCGGGTCACCGAGCGGTTCCAAGGAGTTTGGGTGGTGCCCGAATGGCGGGGCCGGGAGTTGGGAGTCGCGGGTGGGTTTGTGGATGGGACGAGGCTGTGACTCAACCGGTCCTCAGGTTGATCCTCGACCCCACGAAGTCCGATCTCACAGATGCGGCTCCAGATGCTGCGGCTCCGGAGTTTCCTCCGGAGGAGCAGAGGCGGCTGGTGGCGGAAGACTGGAAGCGCTTCAGCTTGGTCTAAGTGGATTGGGTTGGGGAGATGGGAAGGGATCAGACAAGGACAAGGACTCTCAAATATAGACTTGCAGAGGTAACTACTTCAATATATAGACTTAGTATAGGCTTGCTCAAAGCTAAGCATATATCAGACCCTCCCCCAAAAAAGCTTTTGGGATTGCAAAAGGCTGGATTTCGATGGGTCTCATCTAATACCCAAACACTCCATGTATGCCATATATGCCTACATTGACCCCCAAAACCACCCCAACTGATCGGCAAATATGCCAGTCCCATGGAATGTCTGGGATAGGTTGGAGCTAGGGTACCCTTGCGTTCTTTGAGGGTTGGAGTCTTGGGGGGCAAGTAAGTTGCATGACGGCAGTGGTGAGTTGCATGACGGTTCGTGAGAACCCAGCGAACTCGAAGTCCCGGTGCTGGGACGGTGGAAAACGAGAAAGGCAGAAAGCGCAGGGACTGTGACGTTGTTGTGGGAGGGACTAGTTCGTTTTGACAGACACCAAGACATGTTGTTGAGATGAAAAGTCGACGCCTTTCACAATGCTGCACAATTCAATGGTCTGCTTTGCTTCGCGAGTAAAGGGACACCATGTTTCTCTCGAAAAAAACGCGCCCTCATCCTCTCACCAGCAAGTTATGGGAGGAAGTGGAAGTGGGTTGGACAGTGGTTGGACTGGCTGAAAGGATGCGATCGTTTGGATTGTCTCGTTTCGCGAGTTCGATCAGCAGTTCTTCTTCTGCCACGCGCACACCTTGGAGTTCTCCGCCGGTCCAAACTCGTGGCCCGAGGCGTATTCAGCAAAGGTCGAAGGCCAACAAGAGACTTGGAGAGCAGTGTCGTGAGCACCCACGGAAGCGATTTGGGGTGGTTTGAGGGGTCAATGTAGGCAAACATATCATAGATGGTTTGGGTGTCGTGAATCCTGTCGCCCTTCCCGAAAGAGAGATGCAGAGATGGCGAGTCAAAAGCAGGGGGACCTGAAACGGTACAATGTGACCACCCGAAACGGTTACACTGGCGAAACGGCCCAGATAAGGCAGTTGATGACCAGGTTTCTGGAAAGGGCTCCAAGTTTCACGATTGTAACTTACAGGTTTGTGGGCAGCCTTGATCTATCTTGATCTCGATTTGCGTTTGCAAGTATTTACGAAGCATTTTCGCCCAGCAGTTCCGGGGTGCCCCTGGCCTCCATCCACTCGGATGGGAGAGGAGCCACACCACACGTCACAACATGTGACTCCTGGCCCATTGTGAGCTGCTTGCGCTTTAGACTTGAGAACCAGTAGAGGCTCCGCTTGAGCTGGAGCTCCGCTTGACATCTTTCTGCCATGCGGACATGTGCATTCACTGTGTGGACTGTGCATTCACTGCATTCTGCTTGTTCACCGCCATAATCGGACGAGCGTTGCAGTTGAAGGGCACTCCAATGACGGCGCAGTCGAAAAAACTCCGCCCCAGAGTCCATACACCTTTCGGCCTTTAGGGTATCAGAATCGATTGCCAGCGCACACCATTTGCCCGGCGCTGGCAATGTTGGATTACAGAGATCATCTCATCAACCTCCAAAGCAACCCCCCCCCCCCCACACACACACACATATACACACACACTAAACTTCCTGAAATCATGATGGCATGGCCCTGATTTCCGATGACCACGAACTCGGAAGACCAAACAGGTGGTTTTCACTCCACCAACCCATGGATTCTTCAGGAACTGTGCCCTCTTCCTTAGCGTCACCCACATCTGAGGAGAGCTACATCTGCCACCTCCGCAGCGATCTCCAAGAACGCAGCAGCTCAGGAGGGCAAACTTCGCAGAAAGGGTGGTGCGACCAAGCCAGTGAACGTGCGGCCAGCGAATGGTTGTTTCCTGGTCGTAACAAAATAAGGATCCATGCGCCGATGAGACCTGACAGCTTATAAATTGTTTTTGTTTGACAGAAGCAAAAGCAAGACATTTAGCTTGTGGGTCTTGAGTGGATTTTGAGCAAGCGGCAAAAGGTGAACTTTTGTGGATCATGAATCAGTTGAGATAGCGCATCCGCTTCACATTCATCTGACGACTGCTTCTCATCGCTAGAGGGCCATAACACGAGGCTCTTATTACTAATCCCCTCCACCTAATTAAAAACGCAGGGCCCCCCCCCGTTAACAAAAACTCGGGTGCATTTTTGATACGGGGTCCCTGAAATCGGGTTGTCCCAAATAGGGTCAGTGGGAGGATCCTTTTGAATAGTAATTGGCTATAAACATGAAATGCAGATTTCCTGGCAGGCGCAGCGCTTTGTAAAGCTTGAAGTGTAGACTTCGTGCAGACACCTGGGAAGAGCTTCAACACCGAGAAGTCATCCAGGAAAGTTTTATATAAAGTCCTCTATTTTAAACTCGTATCAAAAAAATGCTCCAGATCGAAGGGCCTTCCTTTTCCCTTGACAAAAGCCTTATTAAACAATTATTGTTCACTAGAGAAACAACTAAAGCTTTCGAAAGGTAATGTCGTTGTGCCACGCCGTTTTGCGTGGCCACGGTGGCAAGTGCATTTGCGTGAGTCTGTGCCATTGGGGGAAGGAAAACCTGCTGGTGTAAACGCGGCGTGTCATGGTGGACAAACAGGGTGGACAGAGGTGGGCAGTTAGGGTTGTTTTTGGAGCCTCAAAAAAAGATACACCAAAGTCGACCATTTTGGTAGTTTTGTAGCCGATTTAAAGGGTGGCAATTTCAAAGCATATACCGTACTTGGGGGTTTCCGGCATGGTGCTTTTTAAAAGGGGAGTGGTCTTTAATAGGTATACCCGGCACTGTTCTTTAAAGGAGTCAACGTTTTGCCACTATACTTCAAGTTGTAGTCTTAATTAGTATGTTATAGCCAACGTACCAATATAGCTTTAAACTGTTGATGGTGACTTTGTAAACCATGCAGCAATGATATTTTTAAGACAGGTAAGTATGCCGCATCCGTGTTGTAGTGGATATGGTATAAACAGACCTCAACAGAACCTCCTTTTTTTTGAACGTCGCACAGGATGCGTGTTGGATCTTTTTGACGGCGTGTGCGTCGATTGTTTTGACTTGATGGACCTGGTTCTTCCAATCCTTTGAGATTGCGGGATGAGGCCACTTCTATAAGCCTCTAAAGGGTCACTTAAGAATCCTCAAGTTCGGTACTTTGAAGAAGCTGTGACCTGGGAACCCAGTCCCAACCAGAAACAGTTCTGGTTGTTCCAGTATGGTGACAGCTTGAGATCCTTTACATAGGATTTCTGGCTGCGACTGGGGAGCTCCATCCATTTCTTTCTGGTTGGGACTGGGTTTCAGGACTGTGCTGTGTGCCCGGTCGTGGCCGATCATTCGTGCACCCTCCCTTCCGCCGGACCTGTCAGAGGTCGTCCACCACACCTGATGAGACGAACCTTTTGTGGGGTTGTGGGTAGAAGGTGAGGTGGGCTACAGCAGTTGGTAGGTGATTACACCCAGGTGAGGGTCTTAGGTGGAGGTAGGTGAGGTGGGAGGCTAAAGAAGGTTTGTTCCGGAAATTACACCCAGGAAGAGACCCACATGGAACCGGGCTTGGCATGGACCTGCAAGGAAGACGATTTTCCTCTATAACCCAGTGCTTTTCAGGTTCCATTTTAATCTTCCAAGGTGGGTCAGGAAACCTTTTTGGGGTTTAGGTCTTCAATGCAGCACAATCTGCAACACAACCTCAACTCAGAACATGTTTGTGGTTTATGAACATGCACACTATGAAGCTCTTATCAAAAATAAGGATGGATAAGGTATCCCAGGTGGATTTTCAGATATAACTCTTGGTTCAAGGTATCTTCAAGAACAGGATCCAATTCAAGCATGGCTAGGAGAAATGTGGCCATCCTTGCCAGCAGCCTCCTGGAAATGGGCAATGGGAGAGCTCTCCCTAACATTCACCGACCTTCGGTGAGTAGCTGTTTGAGATTCATCCCAGGTCACTAGAGACTCCAAAAGAGGTCACGGACTGGTCAGGTCCTGGTTTTTTCTCGGTGAGTCCCAAGAGAGTTCCATCCGTCATGGAGCTGAAGAACCGACCGACCCGGCAAGCGCCCGAGGGGTTTTGGGCGCTGGCCGCATGAGTCAGTGCCTTGCACAGGAGACGTCAAAGAGAAAGGGAACCAAGTCCATGGGCTTCTGGAAGACATCGAAAGGCACGGAGACCGTTTTTATTTATTTATTGTGTTTTTTTTTCAAAAGGCGCTCTTTGAGTTGTTCCGGACTGCGGCGAAGGGCGGGCGTTCACGGTTGATTCGAAAAGACACGAGGCCTGGAGAGGTAAAACATGGAACGACCATAGCGGGTTTTGATGCCACCGTCTATTTACTGCTAGTGCTCGTTCAGCTGCTGTTTTTGGACCATTGCACACAACACCAGCCGAGTCTGGATGGAACTGCTGATCCAACCGGTGCGAGTTGGCACCAACTTACAGATTGGGTCTATTGAGGGGATTTTTCATGTGCCATTTTTGAGACTTCTCGGTGCCATTTATTGCATGAACCATCATGAACCACATTAGGAGCAACTTTATATCAGCCCGGGTGGCGCGAAGTTCATGCGGGTTGCGCATGGGGTTGAAGATGCAGCGAGACGCCGCGTTGACCAACCGAGAGGTGACTGAGTCAACCTCCGCCAGATGCCACCAGGTGGTCTGATCAACACCCTCCCCCCCGTGATTTTTTTGCATGAGTTTGCACCAACGGACAGGCGCAAAGGAAGTCAAGGAGAAGGTGGAACAACAGGAGGATCTCAGAAGCAGCTATTGAAATCTGGGCTCAATCCTGCAGAAGGCTTTTGACAAAATAGACATTTTGACACAAGATTTTTGGAGAGTAATTGAATGGCAATACGAGGCTGGACCAGACCGCGTCTTGCTAGTGATCAACATAGCTTAGCAGATCTTTCATCATGCATCAGCATTCCTTGGATTCTTTGTAGCTTGGATTCCTCGTGCCGCGCCACGTGACGCAAAGTTCCACCCTTGAATGATCCCAGATGGTCCATGGAATATGTTCATGAATGTCTGGGTCTTAAATGGGCACCACCTGGTGAGCTGGCAGTGAGGGTGCTCAGGGTGGGAACATGGATTCCATTGACCCTTCAAACATATAGTTTCAATTCACCCCACCTGCTCGGCCATGGATTCTGGATTCCTTCAAGATTGATGGACCTCCGCTGAGTCAAGGGCGGCGACTAGGGCGCGACGCTCCAACCGACCTCCGACCTGCGAAGTGAGGGAGTGACCTGGCCCATCACCCCCTCCCGAGCATGCAAGGCTTGGACCACCAGGGTACCTCGGTGGGTAGATGACATGGTAGCGAACTGGCACGATGCGACCAGTCTTGACGTGCGATGCAGACCAAGGCAAGAGGTCATGAGAAACGAACAGGTCACTGATTGACCTGGACAGCAGATGTTCACTTCATTAAGACCTTCCAGTGTTGGGCCACGAACCCAAGAAGCTGGTGAACTGCCCAGATTGGCTTCGCTACCTGACTTCGGGCCGATCAGTGACCGAATCAACCAATGTCACGAACTGAAGAACCTGGTTGAGCAGGTTGCAGCATACCCTTTGAAACAGGTTGAAACATACCCAGTCTGTCTCCGTTTCTTTGAAGAGCCTGGCATCTTCAGCCAACAATACCCCTGGACCCTGTTCTGAAATGGAGACGGACTGGGAAGCCACTTCCGAGTCTTACCATGATCACCATGGATCTGCTGTCCGAGTCAGTCTCCATGGGTCCCTCTGAATTCGAAGATACCAGAGAGAGTACCAGAGAGATACAAAACCTCCCTCCACCTCCAAACCGAATCTGACCACATGTCCGGAAGACTGCTGGGGGCATTCTGTCGTAACAGGGGTTGCACCGGCTACAACTACGCCCGACGGAACCTCTGGGTGCAAATGTGGTTTCACCGTGCGATTGCCGGGGTGCAAGGTTGTTCCGGTGACAGCGATTGCGATCCTTTTAACATAGGAAATAGCTGGGACTGGGGAGTTCCATCCATGTCTTTTCTGGTTGGGACACTGTTTCCAGATCAATCATGGAAGATGCATTCTTTTTGCTCGCTCGCTCGTCCGGCCTTTGAACCAAGACGACGGGCCCAGCGGCTGGGCTATTGGGCGTTGCAGGAGATCAAGGAACTCCAGGAGCCCAACGACGCTGTTGCCATGGCCCCTTGGTGGTGACGCTTGGTGCCAAGCCACGACGCATCCCCATCACGGCCGACGTTCGGGAGGGTCGTGTCCGTCGGGAGGACTTCGTTTGGGGAGGACTTCGCTGGTTCGGGCCCCGGTGGAGTGTCGTAGTCGTAGCTCCAAAACACCGGGCCCCGGAGAAAGGAGGGATCGTCGCCAGGGGGTCCAGACCGAGATGGAAAGTGAGATGAGATTCCACCCAAGTTGGATGGGCACCACTTTGAAACAGATCATTTTTTCCCCCATTTTCCCCCTATTATGGGTCCAGTCTGACGCGGACGGTCCAGTCTCCTGCTGATAAAATGGTTGTGTTTTTGTATGACTCCAAGGTCTGAGCTAAGTTCCTGGGACCTGTCGGGATGAAGCAGGGGACATGTTTACAGCGTGAGTGTGAACTTCACAAGTGTGGGATGTGTTGTACTTGGACAAAATCACAGCACAAAGGCCACCCTGGGGACCGACTCCTCATCTGGGCTCATCAGACCCTCATGGCTGGGGGAGCAGTTGGAACCAACATGTAGCAGTTGGTTCGGGCCCAGGGTTGCTGGGCAGGGTGAAGCCGGAGCCGTAGTCAGGGGTGAAGATGAGAATATGCATAAATATGCCATCCACCTCCTCAGAAGGTAGTTAGACCCCCTCAACCCACCTCAACCATCTTCCCAGGATGTAGTTGGAGTTTTAGGGATTCATGAATTTTCCATATCAATCTCGGAACTACAGGGAGTTTCCCACCCCCCATGCGAACGACCAGGACTTCCATCAGCTCTTGGCCATGAATGCGGGCATCATCGGCGCCAACATGTGGCTTGCATCGGGTGGAATCCGTGCGTCCAGTGGAACCGGGGGGTCTGTCTGGGGCGGCAGTCCGACATGGCAGTCCCATGGAGTGTGGAATGAGCTTGGGAAGACTACTGTACAAGTTACGTGACATGATCAAAGGGATGAATCTCCAACAACATCAACAACTAGAATGCCTGGCTTGAAGCCAACGACCCTCATCATGGGCCTCACGGGAGTTGATATTCCTGCCCAAATCCTCCAAACTGGAGCAATGTGGTTTTACTTTGAAACCATACTTTTCAACGTGCCGTGCCCGTTCACCACGCGAAAGGTATCCTTTCAAACACGAGGTGCCGGAATCCAGCCATCAAGGCTTGTCGATAGGCTACGCACGAAACTGACCGATTTGGCGCTGACAGATGGACCCTTCAAGAGAACATCGTTCTCCTTGCAGGTCCATGCCGTTCGCCCGGTTCCATGTGCTTCTCCTCCCGGGTGTAAAGCAATGGTAGGCCAGGAATCCCGTGGGGGGACACTCTTTGTCTTCAAAAGTAGGAGTTCAAAAACCATCAAAAACCATCGATTCAATAGTCTTTAGCGAACCACCTTTGGTTTACTAAGGAATTTAGACTACAACACCAGGTGGTTCTCATTTGTTGAAGTGGTCAATCGGAAGTTGAGTGGAGCATCTGAGTGGTGCATCGTTCTGCAACAATTCTTCCGTTTCGAGTGGTGCATCGTCTTAAGAGGTCGAAAGCGAAACGAGCAATGGACCTGTTGTACCATACCGGATCCATCGTGGGTGTTGCACCTGCGAAAGGCCTCGAAAGCGTGGGTGTTGAACTCCCCTTGAAGAGGCCCAGACTGCGAAAGCCCTGTGTTTACAAGAGCCAAGTCGATGACCCATTTCGGTGTGGATCATGGGCACCTAACCTCCTTCCTCCAGCAAAAGAGCACCCAGCTCCATAGAAACTCGGGAGATGTCGCGCTTTTGAACCAATTCGTTTCGTTTCGGTGTTCCAAGCCTCCCTCCTCGCTCATCCTCCCTCCTAGGTCCCACCTGCAGCTGCTCTCGGATCTCTTCGAGCAGCTCTTGGCGCCCCACGTGAACGCCCAGCCCGGCGAAGCGGAGATCGCCGCCGACCTCTTGGCGCGACTCATTCTGCGGGACGGACCCACTTTCAGCGCACGGGTCATGGGAGCGTTTGGGGCGGAGAAGGGGTGACGATTCTTGTTTTAGATCTCAGTTTTGTGTTGGATTCGAGAAGGATGTATACTGTATATGGCTTTAAAGGCAGACGTGTTGCATAAGGCATTGCATGTTTTAGTGACAAAAAGTGCAAGGAGGGTTGTAAGTGGATGCTTGCTTGGAAATTATCGGTGTTTCGATCTATTTTCGTTGGTAGAGGCTGCAGGGACCAATTTTCCAGGATGCCCAAACTTTCTGGTCGGAAGCAAACGGACCTTTCCTGTCAAAATATAACATATATATAATATATATATATGTAGTCCGATAGAAATTAAATGAAATTGAAATTGATATTTCTCTATATACTTTCTAGTATGTATGGTTGGGAAGACCCAACAGGGTGGTTCTTTTCTTCAGCTGCGAAGGTCAACACCCCGCAGAGTAACTCGTGTCATTACATCACGAGCAGAATCATGTGCGTGGATCGGAAGCTCCTCAAATGGAAGCTGGCTCAGAAACAAGGAGGCATCCGCAGGATTTACATCATTTCTCCATTCCTGAGTATGTTTGGATGGCACCTGTTTTTCCCACCGAGTATGGTTGTCCCCACCCATACTCGGTGGTGTTGTGGAAAGAAGACGTGCGCTTTCAACGTGACAACTGCAAGCTGAAGGTCCTAAGCTGAAGCGTGGATTGAAGCCCAAAGAGATCCACAGACTATTGCAACAACCGTGAGCAGATCAAAGAAAACTTAAACTTCTGGATCGCCATACTCGCTAATGTCTTCATCGGACCTTTTGTTCCCGGTGATCTCTTTTCAAGGGGGGGTCACCCTTCTTTTCCTGCCGGTTTCGGTGGTTAGCCCCTCTTAACCATGGATCACCATATGGTTCACCGCGGCTCGGGCACCGGCATTCATGCCACAACTCCTGCGTCCACCGAGGCTGCGGTTCTTTCGCGAGGCGCAGGGGGAACTTCAACTCAAGGACGACCCATCAACTCGACGTGGCGACCCGGAGCCGTTTGCAACGGTTGATGGGACGTGTCGGCAGAACACTGCGGTGGAAGTGGTGGAGTTATTAGGACCCCCGCCTTCCAAGAAACATGGAAGTGGAACATGGTTTGGCCATGTAGACGAGCATAGGTCATTGTCCACTTCCATGATTTTGCTTGGAGTGTAAGGGTTTGGCCATGTTGGCCAAGAGCAGTTGAGCCAAGGGCAAGAGCAGTTCTTCGATTGGAAGATGAGGCTTTGCCTGGCACTCTATGCCAGTATGCCAGTGAATGAGTTTCTTTTTGTGCGATTTCCTAGATTTATTTGATGATTCTCCCAAAATGAGTCGCCAGGTGTCTTTTTTTTCCTGTATTCTGCTGTGCCCATGCGGTAAGCGGCAGTTGTGCAGGGCCAAAAAAGTGGTCGGAGGAAGGGACTTGGTCGGCGAACACCCAAGAATCGCGTTTGTTGGATCTTTAGATCGTCCCCTTATATTTTTAACTCTTGATGATGTTGCAACCCTCCCCAGATGAAGGGGTGTTACAAACCATGTCTGGGGAGGTGTAAGAATCAAGAGTTTGCATTACTTGTAGGAGCTCTGAATGAGTATAGGAAGTGGAGTTCACCTTTTCTTTGTAGAGGAGAATGGTCTTTCCGGGAGCCAGGATGTTTGATTGCGAGAGAGGGGCCCTGGTAAGGGCTTCTTGAGCTAATGTCGACTTTTTGATTCTTATAGGAGATTTCTCTATGCTCGGGTCCGCGAAGAGGTTGGGCACAAGGGTCTGTGCATGCCTGCTTTTTCCAAAAGCCGGTTTCGGGTGACAGCCTTGGCCTAGCCTTCTGTTTGACCATTCGAGTTCGGGAATGACCTGGTTTTGTGGCGCAAATCCTTTGAGCCTAGGGCTGGGCTCAGCCGGGCACGGCCATGCAGATCGGTCTGTTTCTTTGGCGTAAAACACGATGTCCGGCAGACCCAGGAGTTCCATTGGAATTTGGGGTGATAAACTCCAAAGTCACAGACACTCCATCTATGGAAGAACTACCTCCACTTAAAGTTGCACATGTGGGCAATCATGGAGCCTTACTTTGGGAAAAAACACCCAGATGCCGCCGGCTCGGGCCAACGGATGGAAACGGTGGAGGCGGTCAACCGCCTCCTTCGTGGGCCTTCATCCTTCAGCCTTCCCGTGAGGACTTCAAGACATCCATGTTAGCTTCTGCACGGGCCTTGTTGCCCGAGACCTGGGACACGACCCACGAGAATGCCTGGAGACTTGGCTTCGTTTGACGTGCCCTCGGGACTTGGCGCGGGACCTCGGCGAGACATGGCGTCCAAGTGACGAGACTCCTATGGCAGTGGTGCACCATGACTGCCAGGTGGAATGCATGTAAATAGCCCATCCCATCCATGGGACTGGAATAGTTTTGGACCACATGGATGGGTCATGAGTCATTGGAAGTTCTGGGTATAGGCGAAAAATGGTTTTGCAGTGAGGTCTTCACCCGGCCTTGACTGGGCCAGTGGTGGCACGGGACCAACTGAGAGCATTCCAGCAGTTCCATGAATAAGCCAAGGGTGCGATCCATGCGATGCATGGCGGTAGTCATGGAGGAAGTCGGGGTGTCCCAAAAGCGACGTCGAATCCTGGAGCTTTCTTTCGCCCCCGCCCGGACCGTGGACCGTGGACCCGTGCACCCTGGTCTTCTCGACGCCGGAGGGATGGTGCGAGGGATGCCGGAACAAAGCACAAGGAAGAACATCAACCAGCAGTCGACAGAGCTCGGGGTGCTATCCATGGAGGTGGCTGGGGTGCCCCTGTCACATCCACGAGCCCTGGATGGGACGAACAAAACCACCCAACTCCTTGTGACTCCTGGAAGGTGGGATTTCGAGACAATCCATGCAGTGCTGCAGCAGGTATGGAATATTTGGCTACATTCAGGTGTTTTTAAGAGGCCTACAGTCGGCTCAACGTAGCTCTGCAAGTCCAGTCTGACCTAGTTAAAACCTGGTCTTTTACCTCCGGTCCTTGAGTAGTGTTTTTTTGTCTGGCCAACTCCAGCAAAAGATGGCCAAACTGACCTGTAGGGTAGGTAAATCTTGCAGTCCCAATGAGTTGCCCTCTGGGATGGATGACGCTTTTGAACACATCCCATGGATCATGTGATCATGTCTGAGTGGAAATCGGAAGTTTCGGAGTCCATGCCAGACTCAGCACTTTCAACGACGACCGACCTAGACCGATTTGGAATTGGTTGGTTTCGGTGACGCCGTGTCTACCAGGGCCCCTGGTTTGCACTACCTTGAGGAAGGTGGCTTGGTTGTCTACCAGGGCCCCTGGTATCGTCCATTGAGGGGTGTGAACTACCTTGCAGGTCTGTAGGAAGGTCTTTTCTTTCGCTGAGTCTCGTTGACCTCACACGGTCTCGTCGAACTGGGGAGACCGGGAACAGGCTTCAAGACCGGGTGACACCCAGAGCACAAAGGCGACATGAGGGTTTGGAGAAGGGAGCTTTGCTTCTTTTTTCAGCTGAACTTTATGGCCTTCATAGTGACGGGCTGAGACTTAGAATATAGAATAGCTAGCAGCTAGCCTGAACATGTTTCAATACCAACATCATATACACCCTAAAAATTCCACAGAATGCCAGGGCATCGAGCCGTTTTACATCTGTTTTTTCATGGTTTTTCAACATTTGAATTGTAGAATCATTTATTCTGACACCTCCCCAGACATGGTTTGTTTCCACCTCTTCACATGATCATCAAGAGTCGATTTAGCCTAGCCAGGCACTGCATGGGGCACAGCACGACAGTTTCACGGCTAAGCCACGCAACCAGCGCATGCTAAGCGCAACCACGGACGCATCCGTTGGAAGATGGGACCCATCCCACCGAACCGCACGTGAGAACACGTCCTGTCCACTTCCGCTTCCGTGCTTCGCAAAATCCCGAACCCAAGTGTCCTGTTGCCATGGTGTTGTTTATCATTCAAATAAACCTCGAAGTGAAGGGAGTGGACCTCATCCATTTGAACAGGGGTTTACTGTAGTCTTTACCAAAGAAGCCAATTCTTTCAACGTTCTAAGGAGCTTTTGCCTACAAACACCAGGTCAGCCGGACTCTTTTGAATGGTCAGGCGACCAGGTCAGGCGGCCAAACCCTCGGTCGTTGCGGCGCGGGCCGAGGATTGCTGTGTGGGATTGCATTGCTTTGCACATCCGGAGGGCCATGCCTCTCCCAGGGCGCTACGTGAAACACGTGCAGCGCTTCGTGTCAGGCCAGGAAGAAGTGAAGCCCAGATCGAGTCGAGTGCTACTTGTATTGCCCATGGCTGTGATGACCATGAAATGCTAGCAAGATGGCAGCGTGCCGCATGGCGGCTGCCGGGTGCAGAAGGCTTGGAGGATGATCTTCGGCATGGCCATGACAGCACCTGTTGATCTGTAAATCATGAGTAGGAGCCCACTGTTGCAGCAGTGATGGTTGATGGTGCGTTCTGCAGAAGTCACAGCAACAGAATGAAGTGACAAGTGGCAGCAGTACGATATGGCAGGAAGAGTGGTGAACATCATGGTACCAGAGTTCTTCAGAGTTCTTTAATGAACAGAACATATATGTCATGTATACAGCATCAATAAATACTTAAATGACACGTGTCAACATAGTGAGACAGCAAAAACCCAGTGGGCAATGGTTTATTCTTTTGTTGATGTATAATAACAGTTCTATAGTCTATATAATAGCACTTGGGAAACAAGCAACTAAACCAACACGTTCACACACAGCTACGCAGCTACACCATCAGCCAGCAACTGGAGAACCTGCTTCGACCCGCCCTATCACCCTCAAAAGCGACCCAAAGGACCCACAGGACTCTCACCGTGCGTAGACCGAGCAGCTTGCTTCGCCCGACTTGTCATGGAGCCATGGCTCTCACCGACGAGGACGAGGAGACCTTGGGGAAAATCCTGGCCTCCTTGGAGCGGGGCGCGTCGTACGACAGCCGCGACGCGAGAGCGAGCGCTGCCGCGCTGCCGCGCTTCGGCGCGGTCGACGCGAGCGGCGACGGCTCGAGCTCGAGCTCGGCGTCCGTGCGGCGGCGGAGCAGCCTCCGCTCGCAGAACTCGCTGGATTCCGTGACGTCGGCGTTGGAGACGTGGCGTTGGAGACCTTCATTTTGTGATTTGTATTTTTCCCTCACTGGGCAGTCTTCAAGACCGAAGTCATGGCCCACCATTTATTTGAAATAGCACCAAACAACCAATATGTTTCACTAAGGATTTAGCACAACAAAACCAGATCAACCATTTTAACAAGGGTCTTGGACTTCCAGGGTATACTGTATATCTTTTTCCTTCCCGGCTCCTGGACAGCAAATCCAAGGAGAAGCTGGTGGCAGGCTTTGAGAGTGAGTCCCAAGGAACACTCAGCGAATCCTTCACCAAGGCTCTCCAAAACACGGAGGTGCCTTGATTGGGCAGTGTTGGGATGTTAGCCTCTTTGTGGGACTGTAGCGAAGGATACGCGCAGGTCCCCCAAGCTGTGATTGCAGCTTTTTTCTGGTAGAGGCGTGACACCCTAGACTTTGGAGCAGCAAACTGGGCGGGAAGATCTGGGTTTAGAAGAATAGTAGCGATGGCCTCCACCCTAGTAGCAATGGCCTCCTGTGCACAACTCATGTTGACGTCCCAATGCTCTTTGGAGAGTGCGTGCGTAAATGTGGCGTCTCACTGGTGAGTGGTACAGTGATTCTAGTGTGTGGGTACCAACAAGCACCCCAAAACTGACTCTGGTGTTGTAGAAAGTATTATTAATTATAGATCAAAGGCAAGCTGCAGTGATGGATATTTTCTAGTTGGGTAGTGTTTTGGAATCGGTATACTTGGGATTACTGATCAATAAGCATATAGGTTCCAACTGGCAGAGGTAGGGGAAACTGCCCGGGGAAACTGTCGAAGTTCTTCACATGGAGTCCATTTTCTCCATGTGCGGTTTGGCCGACAAGGGCGGTGGTGGTTTGTCTGTTTCCGTGTCGGGGACGACGGCTGTTCTACGTCGACTACCCTGCCGTTACCGTTACACCGTGACACGCCTGCCACGTTCGGCGGACGTTCGGCGGACGAGTTGGAAGATCCAGGTCTGTTTGAGAGAACCCTCACTTTTGAAGCCCCAGCTAATTGCAGTGGTTTCAGAGTAGATGGTGCAATCCCCAAAGGTGGTTGATATATGGACCCCCAAATAAAAAACATCTTTGGATTCTTTGGGTTTGTGCCATCTATTCTGAAACCACTGTACAGTATTTGGAACGCTCATCGAAAAGCTCATTGTTATATATGTTTTCCCCATGACTTGTGCAAGCCTTCAGGCGGTGGTCGGCTTGCGCGAGGAGCTTCAGTCTTCCGAAGAAGCTCTCCAGGAGGCCAAGGCTCAATCCGAAGCTTTGGCTTCAGTGCAGCTGGAGGCAGAGCGCTTGGAAGAACTTGCTACCGAGCGCCAGGCAGAGCGCCAGGCGGGGTGTGGAAGGCGCAAAAGAAAAAGATCCAAAGAGTGGACCTGCAGGTGTTTGGCTCGTTGTTAATAGAAAAAGGGTGGTTTTGCTGGGCATCAGAGTGCAGCATGGATGGGATCTTAGTTTTGAGTGCCAGGTGTTGAAGCACGAACTTGCTGCGCTGCAAGAAGCATTGAAGTCTTCCGAAGATGCTGTTCACCTTCGGGATTTGAAGCACGCCGAAGTGCTGCAGCGTTCCGAGACGGTGGAGGCGGGCTTGAGGGAGGCTCTCCACCAAAGCGAGCAGGCCCTGGCCCTGGCCGAGCAGCGGAACGTGCAGCCGATGTCGCCGATGTCTCCTGATTCGACCGGCACGTGGCGCGTGGCGAGTGGGGTGGGGAAGAAGAACAAGATGACGACCCCACGGCCCGACGATGGCGATGTGCTCGAGACACGCGAGACACGCGAGGTGCTACGCACGCTCGAGGCTCTAAGAACAGAAGAAGCCAAGAGTGAGATGCTGGCGAAAGAGAAGCAATGTCTTCAAGAGGACGGCGAACCAAGATTTCGGCGGGTTGGAATTAGGTTCTATCATGTTCTATCCAGATTCTTCGATTGACGGGGAATGGTTGCACTGAAACTACCCCATTCTCGTGTAGTGAAAGTTGAACATCTCACAAGCCTTGCAGATCTTCCTTTCCACTCTGAGCCTGAGATGCTTTCGGATCAGGGCCAGTCTGGATGAATCTCGTCTTTGGAAGAGGGACCAACTCTAGTCCCATGATGGTCTGGGTATGAAGTAGGGACTGGATGCCCTGCTAGTTAGGTTTCTGGTTTTTAGAAGAAACTTCAAGGAACTTAAAGGACTTGTCTCTAACATGGGCTTCTGGTCAAGACTCCCGTGACAGCCTACCATTTGCTGTAAGCCAAGAGAAACGGAATCATACCCAAGTGGATCCAGTTACCCAGACCATCCAGGGGCACTGGAATAATAGTGATGTACACTGACCCCAGGACTCCATGACCCTACATAGCAACTACTCCCGTCTCATGGATGCGGATAGCAGGTGTCACTAGGACGAACCCGCTTCGCGTCCGACGCATCCTCCTCCGGTCGCCGCGTCGTCGCAACGATCGGACCAAAAAGAAGACCTGGATCCATCGTACGACCCGATGCACGGGGGAATGGAAGGACATGGATCTTCCGAGAGTTCGTTTGGATGCGGAGAGTTCGTGCTAAAAAAACGAAAAGAACAACACCACGGCTGGGAGAAGAGTTCGTTTGGGAGGCTCACACGGTCCGGAAAAAGGTGTCGGTTTGCAGATTTGGACTTGATCAGGAGCTGAGGACTTCTGAGAAAGCTTTTTGCGAGAAAGAAAGCAACTGCATGCAAATCTCGCGGCATTTAGAGGTATTGGATGCCAGCTTGAAAGAAGCCCAACAAAGGACAGAGGATGCTGATAAGAGGCTAGCGGCAGAACAAGCATCATTTGAGGAAAAGCTCAGCTTGTTGCAAGAAGAGCTGAGGTCATCCGAAGACGCTCTTTGTGAAGAAGCATCCCATCGAGCTCAAATTGTGAAGAGCTCAGAGGACTTGGAGGCCAGATTGAAAGAGACTCTCGAAAGAAAAGATGAGGGCAACAACGAACAAGATGCAGAACAGTCGCAAGCACTGCACGCTAGCCTGCAAGAGGCTCTGCAAAGAACAGAGGATTCTGACAAGAGGCTAGTTGCAGAACAAACATCATTTGAGGAGAAGCTCGGCTTGTTGCAAGAAGAGCTGAGGTCGTCTAAAGAAGCTATTTGTTCAGAAGAATCCAAGCAAGCACAAGCTGTGGAGCATTCAGAGGCGCTGGATGCAAGATTGAAAGAGGCTTTGCAAAGACAAGAGGATGCTGAGAAGAGTTTGGCAGTAGAGCGCCAGGCTTTTGTTTGGCAGGAACTGCGTTTGTTGCAAGAAGAGCTGAGATCTGCCGAAGAAGCTCTTCGTCAGGAAGAATCTAAGCGTGCGCAAGTTGACAAGAGCTCAGAGGATTCGGAGGCCAGCGCGAAAGAGACTCTCGAAAGAACAGATGAGGGCAACAACAAACGAGATGGAGAGTGGTCGGAGTTGGAAACACTACATACTAGCCTGCAAGAGGCTCTGCAAAGAACAGAGGATGCTGACAAGAGGCTAGTTGCAGAACAAACATCATTTGAGGAAAAGCTCAGGTTGTTGCAAGAAGAGCTGAGGTCATCCGAAGACGCTCTTTGTGAAGAAGCATCCCAGCGAGCTCAAGTTGTGAAGAGCTCAGAGGACTTGGAGGCCAGATTGAAAGAGACTCTCGAAAGAAAAGATGAGGGCAACAACGAACGAGGCGCAGAGCAGTCGCAGGCACTGCATGCTAGCCTGCAAGAGGCTCTGCAAAGAACAGAGGATTCTGACAAGAGGCTAGCGGCAGAACAA